AGCACTCATGCAGCCCCAGACCATGACACTCCCACCACCATGCTTGACTGTAGGCAAGACACACTTGTCTTTGTACTCCTCACCTGGTTGCCGCCACACAAACTTGACACCATCTGAACCAAATACGTTTATCTTGGTCTCATCAGACCACAGGACATGGTTCCAGTAATCCATGTCTTTAGTCTGCTTGTCTTCAGCAAACTGTTTGCGGGCTTTTTTGTGCACCATCTTTAGAAGAGGCTTCCTTCTGGGACGACAGCCATGCAGACCAATTTGATGCAGTGTGCGGCGTATGGTCTGAGCACTGACAGGCTGACCCCCCACCCCTTCAACCTCTGCAGCAATGCTGGCAGCACTGATACGTCTATTTCCCAAACACAACTTCTTTGGTCGACCATGGCGAGGACTGTTCTGAGTGGAACCTATCCTGTTAAACCGCTGTATGGTCTTGGCCACCGTGCTGCAGCTCAGTTTCAGGGTCTTGGCAATCTTTTTATAGCCTACGCCATCTTTATGTAGAGCAACAATTATTTTTTTCAGATCCTCAGAGAGTTCTTTGCCATGAGGTGCCATGTTGAACTTCCAGTGACCAGTATGAGAGAGTGAGAGCGATAACACCAAATTTAACACACCTGCTCCCCATTCACACTGGAGACCTTGTAACACTAATGAGTCACATGACACCGGGGAGATGTCTAATTGGGCCAAATTGGGACATTTTCACTTAGGGGTTGTGACGAGAGGGGCGGGGCCGAGAGCCGTGGGAACGGAGCGAGGCCGGTGGAGTAATTGCGAATGCGCGACACCTGCACCACTCACCGGTCTCGAGTCTCACGGAGGAGCTCCGGAAGGATACAAAGGAGGAGTGACGACAGGGAAAGACGAGATCCGTACCCACTGTATATGTGTGTGTGTGTGTGTGTGTGTGTATGTATATACTGTATATACTACACACTGTATATATATATATATATATACTATACTATATATATATACAGTGGGTATGGAAAGTATTCAGACTTGAAATACCGTATGTCACATTGTTGAAGTAAATTGGGTCGTGAATGGGGATTCATGTTGACTTTAAACAGTATATTTTAGCATGCTTATATGATTATTATTCTACACAAAATATGCCTGCTTGAAAATATAATTGGAATACAGTAGTGAACATTTGAAGTGGATCAAAAAAGTTAATCAAAGTTGCCCTAAGACAAGAACGCATTATGGTTTTATGACAACTTTGAAATGTTTTGATCTACTTCAAATGTTGACTAGTGTATATATATATATATATATATATATTGTCAGCATGCAGTGTCCCAGGAAACAGTACCAGGAATAGGACTGAATAATCAGAGTGCGATTCAAACACGGAATACTTTAATAAACAACTCAGGAACCAGGAGACGATGATAACACAACTAAACATGACGGAGAACGGATCAAGACTAAAGGGAGAACTGAGGGCTTATAAGCAAGAACCAAACAAAGGGAACGAATCAGATGAATAATCAACACAGGTGGAAACTAATGAACTAATCAGGGAACACAGGAAAACTAGGTCACTGGCAGGAAGAACAGAAACACAGGGAAATCTAAACAGAAACAGAACATAAATGTGACATATACTGTATATAAATATGTAAATTAACTAATTTCTTAGCTTGTAAATTAACTAAATTCTCTATCCAATGCTGTCACGTCACGTGACAAAAGAACGAACGATTCGAAAGACTGGAGAGATGAACTAATCAATTCTGTTTCCGGCTCAGACTGCATTGGTTAAACTTATGGGGCTGTCACGTGATGAATGAACGACTCAAGCCTGAAGACTTGTCAGATAAGAGGTGAGGCGAGCTAATCATAGACTGAAGACCCAGGTAAACAATTAATTAATCTTTTCTGTTTCTTATAGCAGTTTTGTATTGTTTGTAGTGTGATCAACGTTTGCGTAAGTAGTAGATGTATTAGGGAAGTAACACTTAACATTTTAAATATATTTTGCTAAAATTAACGAAATGACTCCAAAAAAGATTCATTCATTTTGCTGAACGAGACTCAAAGGTCCCAGTCGGTAAAATGATCCGAACTTCCCATCACTAGTGAGCTTGTGATTAGCGCAATGGAGCATGGGAAATGTAGTCTAGAGTGACGTGTAATAGTCTGTGTGGTGTGAGTCAATATAATGGGAGGGCGACCTCTAGTGGCAAATGGATGGAAGTTCATGGACAGGATTCGTGACACACCGTGACGAGGCATTTGCACATAGCATGTGTGACAAGTACACACACACATTAAATCATCACACCTTTCTGTGCCAAAAAAAGACTCATTTTATTGAATACATCAAACTGTCCTACAACAGACCATAAAAGCAAAATAGAATATGTCTATTTTATGTTTTTATACTGGGGTGCACCGGTGCAAATCAATTTTAAACCACTTGGCATCACTCCATCATTACAGATAGATGCAGACAGATTAAGACTTCAGGGAAAACCAGTCTCTATGAAGAATAAATACATTTGTGTAACGCGATTCATTATTTTCATTTGTGGCGTGCATGTAAATTCCCCCGATCTATGGTTTGATGATTGGCTTGCTGATTAAAGCTTAGATGGTTAATGAGTATGTATGTTGTAATTAATTATTGTGTGTTTTGATTCCTAATGCTGATGTAATGGATGTTAGATTACTCACCATTCAAGCGGTTGCACTGAACTTTCCCATGAGTGCAGTAACAGACAGTGCGGCTGTCAGGAGACCAGCGGGACCCCTCATCCATCTCACGTCCCTCCCACACGCAATTCCGTTTTGAACACTCACACGTTTTCAGGTAGTCAACTCTCGCATGCAGGTCCGTGTTCTACATACATACAGAGAGTTGTTAAAACGTGTGTATAAAATCACTTGTTTGTATACTTATCCAGCACGACACACTTAAAAAAAGTATTACAAAATATATTTTGCATTAGCTTTTATTTTTATTTATTTTATTTATTTTTATTACTGAACCTAAACATAGGAGCCTGATAAAAATGCTAAGTTTAGAAGAACATTTCAGACAGCACTTGTTTCAGACAATTTCAGACAGGCTTTTGCATCTGAGGGAATATATAGATATATGTTTGTGTGTGTGTGTGTGTGTGTGTGTGTGCGGACACACACACACACACACACACACACACAGACACACACACACACACACACACACACACAGACACACACACACACACACACACACACACAGACACACACACACACACACACACACACACAGACACACACACACACACACAGACACACACACACATATTATATATATATATATAAACTAATTAGATTAGTTTTCATCTAATATTTGTATTTTATTTATTTATTTATATATATTTTTTATTTCAGCTTTATTTCAGTTTATATTTTGTAAATAGTTTTAGTTTGCTAACAATAATATATTTGATACAGTATGTACTGTTGTCCTTTTTTATTAGTTTTTTTTATATATTTATAGATTATATTTTATTTTGGATTTAGCTTAATTTTAGTTTAATTTTTAGTTTAATTTCATTTAGTAATTTTATCACTTATTTCAGTTAGCTGTCAATAATGAAATATTTTTAATTGAAATTTGTAATCTAATATTGACATTTTATTATATTTTAGCTTTTATATCAATTAATAGTTTTCGTTTTAGTTAATGATAACAACAGCACTTTGACATATATACTATTATGGTAAATAATTACCATATTAATTTACCATGACATTCACATGGTACTCCAAGGTAATTCAATACTGTATACCACATGCCTATCATTGTACATTTCCCTTATACAAACCCTGATATGGTCGTGGTTCACTTCCAAAAAAACATTGATAGTACCACAGCACTTTCTAGTCCTTTTTTCCAAGTGCAGACACACCAGCATGCCTATTGGAGATACGTTTCCAATGTACCTGACTCTTCAGCATGTCCAGCATGGTCTTGATGTTATGCAGGTTGTTCTCCAGTTGGCCAAGACGCATGTTTGATTCAGTGGGGTATCTTGTAGCTGATACTATGCCATCTCCACGGTCTCCCTGATCTTGCATCATATCCAGGTTACAGTCTGCGGTAGGACTGATGGGAATGACTGTGTCTGGAAGGGAGTCTGTAATAACCAAAAACACACAAATGCACGCAAACACACAGATTATAAAACATGAATGTATTGTGATGAAAACCATGCTTTTTTTTCAACCTGAATATTTTGGACACATTTCAAGATGTGTACATCAGTATATGATCTATAATCCTGAAGCATAAATTCACCATGAGTATTGGAGGGCAAAAAAAGTAATAAGGTTCCCAGAAAACAATCATAAATATCCCTTATAAAATAATACTACACCCAAAAAATGCACTAGCTGACATTAACCTATAGCCAAAAAAGAAAACATAACACATGTAAATATCTATAAACCTGAATCAAACCCTCTTGTGGGTCCTAGCTTTACATCAGAAGAAGCTGTATGACCTATATTTTCAGCTCTGCTGTGTGTGTTTTTTTTTCATGTGCATGTGTAGTTCAGATGTTTAAATGTTTTTATTGTTTTCATGCCTGTTACATTGTCACAGAACCACGGACGCCTCTCATATGCCCTGGTGGAGAGTTCAGCTGTCTGCCAACCACCCTGAAACGATGAGAAAACACATAAAGTCAGTTCTGTGACCATGAACACAATGAACTCTGTAATCATGGCAACCCATTGCAAAGTCATGACCATAACGTCGTAAAACAGATAAGCAATGACAACACCAGAACAATCACCTCTGTAGAATGCTTCAAAGGCACAGTTCACTCAAAAATTAACATTGGGATTTTTTCTTCTGTTGAAAACAAAACAAAAATAAGATATTTTGAAGAATGTTGGTAACCAAACAGTTTTTTTCTTCCATAGATGCTGTAAATACACCATCTGGTGCCAAAATTGATATTTCCCCACCATTTCAACATAGCTGTTCACTTTCCTATGAGGAGTGACAATTGTTTCAAACATGATACGATACTACATATCTCAACTCTTGGTAGCTTCAGAAGCTGTTAAAATGAACAAAATCCCTTCTTCCAAATATCCCTGAAACTGACTCAAATCTTATGAACAGACTACAGAGAGCAAGGCAATGTGCCTCAAATTGACCACTTCAGTGCATTTGTAGCACTCAAATGCATATTGTTTTGATAGAGGAAAAATTTAACATTATTTATTCTTTAGACATTATGGTTTAATTAAAATAAGTATTGGCTGTCTCATTGAGAGCCCCATATCTTTGGGACTGAATGATATAGGGCTTTGAAAATGAAGATTAACTTAATTAGAATCTAAAATCATATTGCAATATCTTTAAAACTTCTTCAGTTATAGGCACGCAAACTTTGTAAAAAGAATATTTATGGCACAGACAGGTCTGTTCAATGCAGATGCTTTGACACAAGGAAACGAGACACATTTCTAGTTTCGGTTACACTTTACTTGAAGGGGTGTGCATAAGACTGACATGACACCTACATAATCATGACATGACACATGTCATGAATATGAAGGTTTTATATGCATGTTTATGACAACTGTCATTAAGTGTCATTCACTCAGTTATGTAATTTTTAATGCAAAGATGACATTGTTTGAGATGTCTTTGTTATGGGCTATGGTTAGGGGTAAGGGTAGGGGTAGGGTTAGGTCAAATAATGTCATATTTGCATTAAAAATGACATAACTGAGCGAATGACACTTAATGACAGTTGTCATAAACATGCATAAAACCTCCTTCATATTCATGACGTGTGTCATGTCATGATTATGAAGGTGCTATGTCAGTCTTATGCACACCCCTTCAAGTAAAGTGTTACCCTAGTTTCAACCAGTGGTGTATTGTAACGAAGTAATAATACTTTGTTACAGTACTTAAGTATTTTTTGGGAGTATCTGTACTTTACTTGAGTTTTTATATTTCAGCCAACTTTTACTCCACTACATTTCCTAATTAAAATGTATACTTTTACTCCGATACATTTTCCCAAAGCATATTCGTTACTTACTACAAAATAGTCAGAAGTCAGAAGAACACGGACTGCAGGGAAGCAGGTTTGACGAATTAGTGGTCTGGTGCTTTTAGACTCCTAAAAACACCTTTGCTCACGTGCAAACAAGTGCACGCAAAACCGCGGGTGACTTATTTTCCACTCAAGTCGAGTCTGGGGTGTGCAATACAGCATCGTCTGCGATAATATGGTAAGTGTTGTTGTAATGATGTGCGATCTGACATTATCAAGTAGGCTATAGGCTCACCAAATCACACAGAGTGCACGCGCATTGATTTATCTATTAAAACTCAAAATTCCAGGCATTCTAAATTGTAGACGCCAAAAATGTTTCTGTATGCTTTTTATATTTATATAATTTAATATATTTAACTTAATCTATATCACACAAAGAGTACAGTTTTTCAGCATAAACACATGTAATAATCATCTTATACAAGTTCAGTAAAGCAATAAGTGACTTACATTTTAGACACAATATTGCTTGTTTTTACTTGTTCCAAACAAAGATCACAGCAGTGTTTTGTGTCTCTGAGCAATTGGACCGTGTTTACTTATTTAATGAATCAGCTTTTTGAACGAATCGGTTGAATAAATGATTCAGTGATTCACTCATTAACACAGTCAAATGCTTTGT